CTATCTCCCTCCCCTTGGCCGCAGCCTCCGCCTCAGCTCGACGGATGGCCTCCCGGGCCGTGGCAGCGGCCTCCCGGGCTTTAGCGACGGCCGCGTCGGCCTTGGACTTGACCTCTCTCAGGTCAGCCTCCCTGGCAGCCTCAGCTTGAAGGACTAGAAGCCCAGACTGGAGAACAGAGAAAAATAAAGGCAATGGTCAGAAGATGAACATCAAGGGAAAGAGGTACTCGGATCTGGTAAAGAAGGGATACCTGAAGAGCGGTGGCCAGGGCAGCGCTGGTCGCCTCCGACGACGAACGGCGGGGCAGCTCGAGACCGGCCTTGAGGGCCATCTCCCTCCAAAGCTCCTCCGCCGGGCAGCTCAAAGGCAGGGAGCTGGTATCTTCAAGCAGGGGGGCAGTAGAGCCTGCCTCACGCCCCCTTTTCTGCTTCTTCTCGGGGACCTTCTCTGTCCCCTTCTGTGGAGCCGCCTTCGTGGGGACGACCGGCGGTGGAAGGGCAGCTTCAAGGGCAGGGGCCCCGGAACCCTGAGCCAGCACGGTGGCAATCAAGTGCTGCTCACCCTCAGCCGTTCGTCGGGCAGCATCAGAGGCGGAAGAGTTGGAATCCGATGCGGGGGCGTTCTTGGCCTTCATCAGTGCGGCTTTAGCAGCGGCCGCCTTGGCCTTCCTCGTCTTCAGACACTCGGCGTGATTCATCTGAGCTCTGTCTGGCGGAGAACCTGCGGGAGAACGATAAAGGGTTAGAAGACGAACAGAGAATGCAAAAGGACACTCACCTCGAAGGACAGGACCGCCCGGCGCCCCGAGACGAGCGTCGAAGGGTGGAAGGAGTCCAAGGACACGGGCGGTACCTATGCCTGCCCCCGAGAGTGCCTCGAAGGTCAGATAGCCAGCTATGGGGCGAATGCCGCCCTGCAGGATGCCTTCCACGGCCTCACCCAGATCGTCGGTCAACTCCGGCGACTCTATCTTCGGGGGGTAGCCGTTCCAACGAACTGGGAGGGGAGGACCATCATAGCGAAGGAAGAAGAACCGGTTTTTCCAGTCATGGATGGAGGAGGGGTAGCTCTTAAAAAGCCTCCTCCCCGGACGAGCGGCCACGCTCAGATACCCGTCGGAGTTCTGGGGAGTGATCCGGTAGAAGTAATGGAACAGATCCAGGCTGGCTTCGACCCCCGCAAGTTTGCAGCGCACCAAGAAGGCCGATATGAACCTATAGGAGTTCGGCATGAATTGCGCCGGGGCCACTTGGAAGCAGTGGAAGAACTCCACATAAAATGCGTGAAGGGGAAAACGCAGCCCAGCTTCGACGGAGTCCAAGTGAAGCATGATCATCCCTGGACGTCTCCTCATCACGTGCTCAGCGCCCCTCACGCTCCAGACGAACGGCGGGGGGAAGAAGGTACGGATCTTGTTGAGGGCCACACGGGAGAGGACCTGGTCATGATCAAGGGCGCTCCTGATCGGGCAGATGTGGCGCTCCATATCCGTGGGGATGCCCAGGTCATACACCTCCATATCATAACCGGATTCGGCCTCCTCTCCAGAATCATAATCAGCAGGACGCTCATTCAGGGGGACTGCGTCAATAACATCTACTGCCCCGTCAGCACCCCCGTCCCCGGCGTCGCTCCCACTACTTTGAGACACATCATCCGGCTCGCCATCAGCCCGGACGGTCCCCACCGTCGTGGCCGAACCAGAGGTCCCGGAAATACTGGCCTTTCCGGGGGAGCGCGCACTCACATTGTCCGAAGAGGAGCCCGAGGAGGAACCCGACGAACCGGACTCAGAACTTGACGAAATCTCCATCGAAGTCATGTCGGCTAGGAATCAGAACAAGAAAAGAAGCAGAGGGGGAAAATTACCTTACAAAGGGGTTAGCCGGATTCAGAAGAAGACTCGAAGAACAGCGGAAATTCTAGAGCAAGGGAGCAGAAATTGGGAACCCTAGTTCAGGAGGAAAACCCGGCATTTATAGGGGAAGCACCGTATAAGAGGCCAACGAGGAATTGACACGTAGCACAGAGCGTGGTCCGGCTCACGCGCCGTGCGTGGGATGGGAGCGTAATGATGACACTTCCTCGGGAAGGTGCACCGCCGCAACATCAGCCGTCACCTCGTTTCCTGAACCGTCGACAGCTGTCAAGCACCATGACCACGAGCGTACGTTTCCAACGGGTGCACTGAGCACAAGTATCAAGACACGAACGTCTACTTCGAGGGGGTTTATACTTCCTTATGTCCTGCGCATGCTCAGAACATCAGAAGTGGAGGACTTGTGTTGGGTTAAGGGCCCAAGCCGAGGCCCGGCCCACTAACCCTTTCTTCATCAGACGTACGTCCAGTCAAACCGCAAGGCCAGCCCGCAGGCCCATATCCCTGGGGGAGGGGCGAACGTCTGGGGTTGGGAGTTCAGGACCAGCGGCTCATCCCGACGAACGTCTACGCAGGGACAAGGAGCGGAACCACGGGCTACCGAGGGATGACGACGAACGTCTCCGGGACAAGCCTGTAGTCATCGGAGGGGACCCAGTTCACGTGGTGAATATCTACAAGGCCAGGGGACGAACAGCCGGTATCTTTTCGAGGGTCACTTGGAGCAATCCAACTCACTTCGCGGGAGGACGAACGTCCCCACTAATCAGGCGGGAAACCTAGATTCTGGCGGGAAGTGCATTTAATGCTGAAGATTTGGTAGTTGGGACACCAGCGGTCCACAGGCTGCCACGTCAGTACAGCCACCTGCCCATTGGTGGGTATAAATAGAAGCATTTATTTCATTGTAAAGGGTTGGCAACTTTCGATTCTTAGCATTCTGGCTATTGTATTCTTACTCGCAGCATCTCTACTGCCTTGTAAGACGAACGGCCGACGTGCCCTTTTTAGCAAGTAGATTGTACTTAGGGGAGTTATTACGAAGTTAATAATACCTATTTACATTGCCTGCTATTACTTTTGTTTCCTGATCCATCTCATAGTTGTTGGGCTAGATATCCTTACACTTACTCCACTCGAAATCTTTGGGCTTACGTGTTGGGTCCAAGGGTTGAAGGAATAAACCTCAACACACCCCTTCAGGGGTGTAGCTAGAGAGGGTAATTCTGGTCATGTCTCACCCCAAATTTTAAAAATGTTCATACTTTTAATGTAAAATTTTTGTATAAATTTTTTCTAATATATTCTTTGTATTGGTCCAAGAGCATAAATTTTATTCATTGCATTCCTGCTTTAATTCCAGTTATCTCTTAGGGTACGTTTGGTTCGAGCTAATCTCTTATACAAGTTGGAATCTGATACCCGGAATGTGAGATACCTGCGTTTGGATCGTGAGTTTGATTTTTTTTGGAATGTTACATTCCCAAAAAGTGAAAAAGGTCATCGCATAGCCTGGAATGTGAAACCCACTAAGCCCTTAGGTTATGTTACATTCCCGGTTGGTTGTTAATTTTTTCAAAAAATGTTCATGCTTCATTTAATTGGGAGGATAATATCATACGAGAACCACTGAACGCAGCTCTCTTCAACATTTTTCATACTTGAACCACAAAATAGCTCTCTTCTACATCTTTAACATAAGATAATTTCTTTCTCTTTTTTTTTTTTAATTTTTTGTAAGTGTTCTTCTTTAACCTGTTTTTCTCTGTTTTTATCTTTAATTCTCTTTAAGCTTCTTCCAAACTTGGTAGTTTATCTACTTTTAAATTTCCTTTTAAATTGTCTTGCTATCTTGTAAATTTTTATCTCCGTTTAGTATTCTAACCTCTCCGTTTAGGAATACAGGTGAATAGGTGATTAAAGCAGAAGTCAATATGAGAGAATTGAGAATTACAGAGAAGCTAAAAAACTAATACTAGAAAATTGTTTACTTTGTTGGGAAGAGATAATAATATTCAATCTTTACAAGGCTTATAATGGACAACCTATTATGCATACAAACAAAGAGATAAAAATGTCAAATACAAGGCAAAACAAAAAAATCACAGTAATGGATAAAGAGCATTAAAGAACTGCATTTAACCATACTTTGCTTAAGATTAATTCGATTAGTTTTTATTTTATTTATTATTAAAATACTTATATTTCTATAATTTTATTTACTTTAATTATAGGTTGTAATGAGTTTAATGTGTTAGGAGACAAATATTTAAAAGGCATTGAAGTAATTAACCAAATATGCAATACTCCCTCCGTCCCCGAAAGAAGTTCTCACTTTCCTTATTTGGATGTCCTTAATTTAAGTTTCCATTTCCTTAAATGGAAAGTTATCTACATCAAAACAGTGTCAAACAATGCAAAACAGTGTTAAACAGTGCCAAACAATGTCAAAACAGTGTCGAAACAATAAAATTTACCCCCTAGTAAGTTTACATGCATAAAAGTGTGCGAAAGTCAAATGAGGAACTTCTTTCGGGGACGGAGGGGGTATAAGATATGTGATATCATTCAACCAAACAACTTAATGTCTCATTCCATCAAATTGAGAATTGAGAGGATACTACCCGCACGAGTAGTTCAGTTGGCAAAGTGGTGGGAAATTTGGACAATGACCAAGGTTTGAATCCCTGCAGTGACCGTGTGGAGGTCACAAAACCTGAAATAAGTCTGGACCTCTGGTGCGCACGGATGTATGATCTACTACCACTTTGCTGAATGAGTCGTCGTGACTGTCGGGTCGGGGCGTGGGGCACTTTGGGGTTGACCATTCAACCTTTTTTGAACAGAGAATTGAGAGGATACTCCGTTTTAGTACACTACTCCGAGCCATTTCTACTTTTACTGATTTATCGTACCTGCACGCCTATACCAAGCAATCCCAAGTTAAGAATCAGTGGATCACCGGTCTAATCAAGGGCAAGATCGGAATATACAAAATACATGCTTCCTAATTTCAGCAACATATAAATATACTTCGTATACGGAGCATATACATAATTATACAGGAATACCATATACGCGGCCAGAAGCTTGCATTCTGTTGATACTCAAAAAGCAAATTTGTTTCTCTCATTAACTGAAGTTTCGAATCTTAGAACTTCTCAAGCTAAGCTGTCTCTCCTTTTATCCATGGCTTCGCCTACCTCCTCCATTTATTATTATCATCATCAGATATCTTTCCCTTCATTCTTGTCTCGGTTTAAACAAAAGAAGAAGAAGAAGTAATAATCACTGAATATAAACTGGGAAAGAATCAACAAATGAGAACTGCAATGGGCATACCCGTGCTCATTGTAGTGATCACGGCCGTGATTTTGGAATTACTGGGTTTTGTAGAAGCAGCTACTCATCCCATGGACTGTAAGTTACTTCCCCTCATTTCCTCAGTTCAGTTTTTAAAAAATATCACATTTTTGACACTCCAATAATGTGCCTTGATTTTAAATATTTTAAAGTGAATGGTAGCTGAATTCGTATATAAATGGAGTAAAATCCCCATTATTTTACATTGCAATGCAGTGCTTATAATGTTATATACTTTTATATTGATGATTTATTTATTGTTTCTTTTCAAACTCAATGTGAATGTCTGAATGAACATGAACTGTATTTAATGTGATATGGTTTTCTGGTATGGAACAGTATATGGCATAAAGGAGGAAACTTTTGTATAGTTTATGCTTAAAATCACTGTGATTAATTGAATTTAGGTTTCCACTCATAATATACAAACCTTTTCCAGGTTTTATTCAACTTATAGGGGTTATTTTTTCCATTTTCAGAATATTAGAAATGGAAGCTTCAGATTTCTCCAACAAATTTGCATAATCTTGAATTTCTTATAGAGTAGATATCAATCAATTTTAATTTGATGACCTTTATCACCCTTCAAATATGTGTGTCTGTAGATTCAGAATTATGTTCTCCCTCAGTCTCACTTTAAGAGGCTACATTTGAGTTCTAGGGTCTAAGAATTTCAACCCTAACGATTTTTGTTTTTTGCAAAATGATTTATAATGTGAGTCATAAGGAAGACTATTTGTTAGGAGTACTCTTGTAATTGGTAATAGTGGATAATCATCTTTGACCACAAAACATAAAATATGCCCTACCGAAGGGGTATAGAGGGATTATGTGTCTACCTCTGCATTATCACATATAGCCATGCAATAAGCTCTTAAGGATATGGACCACCTAGGAAAGAATGATCTTTTAATATATTTGCTGCATGCTGCAATGCAGTGCAAGGACTCCAAATTATATACACTTCACTGAACTGTCCTTCAAAGCTGACTGGCTGGAAAGCTAATGGCGGAGATCCTTGCACAGAGTTGTGGAGAGGAGTTTCTTGTCAAGGCTCTTCTGTTGTCTCAATGTAAGTTGATTCTAAATTTAGGTTTAAATAAATTCAATAAGCTCAACGACATATAAAAGTCAGAGTATGAATTTCAATCTTAAAATATACGGAGTAGACAATAAGGTTAGAAGGTTCTTCTCTTATAGGTGTTGTGATGTGTGGATAAGTTATCAATGTTGGATACTTTAAGGTTGTGCTTGGAACAGGAAAAATTCCAGGGTAAGATAACACGAAGGTAAATATAGGAGAACTTTGAAATGAAAGAAGATGTTGAAAAGTCAAAAAATTATTTCAAACTCAACCAATTTATTTTTAGGATTCATAACTATTTCTTTCTTTCATATGAACACCAAACAACAAAGACGTATGTAATTTTTTTAATAACATTAATCATGTTTTGTTTTCCCTTGCATTTAAGAATTTGACTTTCCTTACAGTTTCTTTGGTTCCCCTGGTATTTTTTAAGATCCAAACACAGCCTAACAGTTTCCTTATCTGTGTTGGTTGTCTTGGAGCAGTAAAATATCTGGACTTGGTCTGAATGGAACAATGGGTTACATGCTCAATGGTCTCAAATCACTAAAGACATTGTAAGATTATTTTTTATTTAACATGAAGTGCCTAAAATCTGTTTGATTTTATACCATTTAGTCACAGTCAAGACTTTTTTATGTATGTTTTTGTCATCACAGAGATATGAGTGGTAACTTCATCCATGGCTCCATACCTTTTCTGCTACCATCCAATCTTACGAGCTTGTAATGTTGAATATTAGAGTAGTTCTGGTTTACTTCAAAACGCTTTTGCATTTATTGTTTATATTTAGTTCTCAAAATGATTATCATTTTCTTTTGTATGATTCAGGAACCTTGCAAACAATAACCTAAGAGGAAACATTCCTTATTCCATCATTGACATGACTTCTATTAATTACATGTAAGTAGATTCGTTTGAATATTTCATTGCATTACTACAATTTTAGATAACGTCTAAAGTTCTCCATTTTTGGTCCACCACTATTAGGTTATACCCATATTTGGTCTCCCTGCCTTTCATTTCTTCGCTTTTAGTGCAGACCATGATTTTTTTTTTGTCATTCTTCTTCCTTTCGGCCACTTATCTGTCAAACTTCCGCATGTTTTTTGATTGACTTTTGTGAGATGAGTGATCAGAAAGAACAAGGAATGACAAAATTCTACTTTGTTGCACCAAAAGTTAAAACAAAAGAAAGTCAAGAGAAAAAAGTGAAGAGGACCTAGCAGTTGTGGGACGTGAAGCAGATCTTTTCCCTGCAATTATATACTTCTGGAATTGTGTGTTTGCTACTTCAACCGTATTGAAAGTGCCTAACACGAAGCAATTATTGATTCAGGAATCTTAGCAGGAACTCTCTTCATCAATCTATTGGAGATGTGTTTACTAAACATTCTGACCTTGCAACCTTGTAAGACAATCTTTTTATCATAATTTACTTGTCTACTGGATGCTTCCCTGTTATCAACTTTATGGCAACTTTTGTAGAAAGTGTCCCACATCGGTTAAATATGATTGAGCAAATCACTTTACAAGTGTTGCCCAATACACATTTTGAGAGCTCTTTTGTAGTTTAGTTAGACCCAAAATTACTTTCTTGATATGATCATTATTTTGAGGATGTGTCTTCATATTGCTTTTTCTGTATTTTCTTCTTTCACGTTGAATCTTTAAGCACAATATTCACATGTGCAGGGATCTTTCTTTCAACAATTTTACTGGAGATCTTCCTCCTTCCTTGGGTTCATTGTCAAAGATGTCTATACTGTGAGTTGAATTGCTTACTAGGATTATCCTTTCAATTTGTTTGACTTTCTCATGATATCTGCAATTCTGGCAGTCACTTGCAGGACAACCAATTGTCTGGTACTCTTGATGTTCTTGTTGATTTACCATTGGTTGATTTGTGAGCCTCAACTCCTAGCTTTCTTCTAATTTAGCTGAATCCAATAGCAATCACATTAGTTGATTCATTCATGCTAAACTAATATATAGGAATGTGGCAAACAATGGTTTCAGTGGATGGATACCAATTGAATTGATTACTATTCCTAATTCCATGTAAGTATATCATGGGCCAAACCACGTTAAAAAAGATTGAATTCAATTGATTGGCTAGTTTAGAACAAGGTTTTATAAAATAATATGACCCCCTTTTAGCCTTTTTAATGTTTCTATGTAAGATTCCTAACAGATATGATGGAAACTCATTTGCTAATAGTCCTGGTCATCTGCTGCCGCCGACTTCCACTCCACCTCCGCCGACTTCCACTCCGCCTCCACCGACTTCCACTCCACCTCCGCCGACTTCCACTCCACCTCTGCCAACTTCCACTCCACCTCCACCTAGTAGGTCTGACATCGACAACCAGAGTTATTCCCCTCCAGATCTACATAAAGTACCAGGCTCTGATGGCAGCCTGCCATTCAATCCAGAGAATAGAAATAGAAAGAAAGGATGGACACATGGAGCTATTATAGGCATAGTTTTGGGATCTGTTCTGGTTGTTCTCGTTGCTGTTTTTGCACTTATTATTTTCTTACGGAGGTGCAATAAAAAAGAAATTGCGACAGGAATCTCTACAGGCAATTCTACTGCCAATGCAAATAGAGGTAACACACATTATAGTACCATTAGTTTTTTTATTAATCAATTAATACTTTAACTTAGTACAATCAGTTGACAACTTGACACTAAAGAAATATACATAAGTTTATAAGATATTGGACTTGACTAATCAAGTGAATTATATCTATTAGTACGGGTTGTCATGATGCAGAAGTGACCCTGATCTAATAATGAGTTTTATGTGTAAAGTGTCAAGAAAGTTGATTTTTTATATGCCTTGATTCTAGTGAATAGGAAGGTGGTAGAGCCGAAGGAAAATTCAACATCCACGGTAGTAGAATTGATGCCTCTTCCAATGGAGAGAATGTCATTAGATATCATACAAGGGCGGAATGGTTCTATCAAGAGAGCAAACTCTGTAATACCTCTCATTCCTTATACCGTTGCTGCACTTCAAACTGCAACTAACAGTTTTTGCCAAGAAAACCTTGTTGGTGAAGGTTCCACTGGGCGTGTTTATAGAGCAGATTTTCCTAATGGAAAGGTAACTTTATACTTTAATCGCCGGTCCAATTGAAAATGGATCATATGTCGGACAAGCTATCATTTTACTATAATCTCCAGTACTAAGTCATCTTCATCAAACACATAAACATAGAAACCAATATATAACATGTTGGTAGTGCAACACTTTGAAATGCTAAACTGCTCGCTTATATGTTGTATGATGATAGATACTTGCCATAAAAAAGTTTGATAGTGCAATGTTGTCATTGCAAGAAGATGAGAAGTTTCTTGAGATTGTCACAAAGATGTCAATGTTGAGACACAGAAACATTGTCGCGCTAGTGGGATATTGTGTAGAGCACGGACAACATTTACTCGCCTTTGATTATGTAAAGAATGGTAGCTTACACGATATGTTGCATTATGGTGATGAGAGGAGCAAAAAGCTGTTGACTTGGAATGCACGTGTGAAAGTAGCACTTGGCGTTGCTTGGGCATTAGAGTATGTACCAGATTTTTTATGTTCCTTTTTTCACTACTTGGGGTTCATAATCAAAATATTATTATATTACAGGTACTTGCATGAAGTTTGTACACCGTTTGTTGTGCATGGGAACTTCAAGTCTGGAAACATTTTGCTAGATGAGGACCTCAATCCCCAATTATCAGACTGTGGATTATCTGCTCTGACACCAAATGTAGTGTACCAGGTTAGATGGTGTAATATGTCTATTAGTATCTCCCTCCCTAAAAACGAGTCATATATGCAATACTGAAATCAGTATGACAAACAGTACTCCTTTCATGGGATGGATTTTGTATATTTTATCTCTACTTTTCGTTCTTATATTTGGTTACATCTTAAAGCTGTAGTAATCTTATAAAGCGCTATGTTCTTGAAAGTTATATGGCTGTCGTGAGAAAGATTTGTCTCATTTTACTCCTTGTCCTATAATCAATATGGGGGTTGCCCTTTATGTCGTACAAAAATAAGCTACACCACAGCCACTTTTACCAAACACTTCTAACACCAACCACACATTCCATATTTTTAGGGAGGGGTGCGCTGCTTCAATATACTCTATTAGTTGCATAGTGCACCGAACATTTGAGTGTTTTTTAAGGGTAAATAAAGAACATCCACTTAAACATTTGTTTTGTCTCGGTTATAAAAACTTCCAGGTTTCATCCACACAGATGGCTGGTTCATTTGGTTACAGTGCACCAGAGTTTGTATTATCTGGAATATATACCGTTAAAAGCGATGTGTATAGTTTTGGTGTGGTAATGCTCGAGTTATTGACAGGAAGGAAGCCACTTGATAGGTGAGTTGCGTACTCTACAAAGTACAAACACAATAAGGGTTGTTTGGATTTGTTACTTAAAAGTTCTTTTGCTCTACAAGAAGCAGAAGTACTTCTGAGTGCTCTAAATTGTTCCTAGAAACTTCTGAGTACTCAAAAAACTGATTCTGATTCTACTTTTGGTTTTTTAAAAAAAGCAGAAGCAGAATCTATTCCAAACACCCCTAATTGATTTATAGATATTCTCAACTATTTTCACTTTCTCATCTCATCATTTAGCTCCCGGGAGAGATCAGAACAGTCACTTGTGAGGTGGGCCGCACCTCAACTCCATGACATAGATGCCTTAGCAAGAATGGTTGATCCTTCGCTAAATGGCATGTATCCTGCCAAGTCATTGTCCCGCTTTGCTGATGTCATTGCCTTGTGTGTTCAGGTATGCCTCTTCACTGAGAATTAGAATGGTGTGAGTTAACTTAGACACAGGGCATCATTCTTTTAGGCCACATAAAATCACAGTCAAATAAAAGGTTTAATTGTTTTTACGTCCCTCCAAATAAGAAATGTTTTGTTTTAAGTCTCAAAATCTGTTCTGTTACTTGTTGTAATATAAACTAGAACAATATTGAAGAGATAAAGGACTTTCTGTGTATTAATTGAAGGGTTGAAGTCCCTATAAATATATAATACAATGCATATTCCTATCGTTTATTCTAATATATTTCAGACTCCCCTCAAGTTAGAGCATAGATATTTATCACGTCCAGTTTGTTAACATAAATAATCAACTTGAATCTCATTTAGTAATATACTCTAGCATATTACTTCCTTTGTCTCGCTAAAATTGTCTTAAATTTCTTTTTCGATCTGTCCCACTAAGATTGTCTCATACCAAATTTTGTAAAGTTTATGTGGTTATAAATCACTTTTTAGTGGGACGAAGGTAGTATTATGATATAGTCTTATAAGAATATTCTGTTTTGTACTATATATTTACATGAACTTCAACCCTTCAATTTACTATATATTTACAGGAACTTTTAGCTTATATTTCAACATGATATCAAAATCATAGCAAAAAACAGAAAATTAATCACGCACATAATTTGTACCCACGTCTTCCATAAAATTAGTTAATATTTCATTTCTTATTAATAGAAATTAAAGTATTCATATTTTGAAATGGGAAAAATGGCTAAATAGCCTTAAAAAATAGTCTATATAAAGTTAATAGCCTCTATTTTGTTTTATTAAGCATATAACACTTTCCTATATGATATAAAGCCGGTAGAAATATGAAATACCATTTGAGACCTTAAACCTAAATTAAATTTTCCAGTTTATGATTGGATATATATAAACCGTCCATAGCCTGATAGATAGATAGCTCATGCCACTCTGCCCCAATTGCGAAGTACTCCGTAATAGTTTTCAAATGACAAATAAGTCTGAGTCGTCTGTTCGTGTTTTACATAAGTACATATCAGTTCATCCATTGAATGTGTGTTTCGTGAAGGGAAGGAAACCACTCGTAGTGGTGAAAAATGATGAAAATAATTGATGAGTAGTACTCTCAACCGTGATAGCGTGCTTTAGCAAGAATTTTAAATCGATATTGGTTCATATGGTTAGTGCTCAAATAATGCTAACGACTGGTTATTGCAATCCTTAACATGATCGAACTATCGATAGCGAATAGCGCCATACTCAACGGGAATCACAAATTTTGCGGGATGAGTACCAGAAGGGAACCGCATATATTAAAAGGTTATATCGGTCATAATATATTGATGACGTTTGATATAAGCTATGCGTTTAATTTTTATAAATGTATGGCATTAATTTAACGGTGTATATTTAAAGGTGTATGTACACTTAAATTTCTCTTTTGAAATTTAGTGACATGAATTTAGCAATGTTTGTGAAAAATTAATTTTATAATGCATTAATAAATAAAATATAGTCAAAATAGAATATATGATAGTGTAAAATTTAAGATGTTTCAACTAAAAGATACTCCATAATAAAGATCGTATAGAATGAAATAAAATAAAATAAAATAAAATAAAAAATGAAATACGGAATGGAAATTGTGGAGTGACGTTAGTTTGTGAACACGGAGTGAAGGTGGTTTGAAAAACTGAAAAATAATTAAAGGAGGGAGCGTCCCTTGGCCCTTAGGATGCCTGTACGGTTTGTTTGGAAGGTGTTAAGAAGTACTCCGTACTATAGTATATCCATATGTAGAGCCCGTTTGGTAGCACCAAAATTGGCTGTTTTGGCTGATTCTGCTGAAATTTATGATATTCTGGCTGGAGTGGCTGTTTTGGCTGATTCTGCTGATTTAAGAAAAAAATATTTTAAAAATATATTTTATTAATAAATTAAAGAAAAAATTATATGTAAAAATAGCTAAAATGGTCCTCTACAGTAACTTCAGCCAATACAGCCAGAAAAGTAACTTCAACCTTACTTTTTCGGCTTATTACACAATTCAGCGCGCGAAAGTAAAAGTTACGTGTTTGGTGAAAAAGCTGGCTGATAAGCCTGATAAGCCGAAAACAGAGTTCTCCAAACGGGCTCGTAATGTAAATGTCAAATGCGGAGTATAAACTCACATGTGTGGAAAAGGTAAAAAGTAGGGTGGCCACAAATCCTGATGTCGTCCTGTTTTACTCCTTCCGTATTCTAAAGTTTGCTACACTTTTCTGTTTGGGATGTATTTAAAAGTTTGTTATATTTTCCCTTCTTGGTAAGTTTTTTCTTTAGAAAAACTCAACTACTCTTACTTTTTACACTTTTTATGTTCTCTTTTCATACTTTTACATACGTACTCTCTAATACTTTTTCTACAATATTCATTACCCCTATTATTTTATCCTAAAACTTTGTATTCAAATCTAATGTAGAGAACAACTAAATACCGAGAGTATTTAGGATCCCATCTTTTTGACTCGTACCGATTTTAAATAGGCGGGAACGGGACATCAAAAGGTTGCCCAGTTCCGTTAATTGTTTTGTTTGTATGATTACAAAGTTTTCTATATTTGATTGTTTTGTAATGCAAGTTCAAAAAATAATAATAGTGTTTTTAATTTTTCAAACCCAAATTCTAAATCTAAAAAATAATCACTAACATAAGTATATACTCCCTCCGTTCCTGAATGAAGTTCTCACTTTTCTTATTTGGATGTTCCTAATTTAAGTTCTCATTTTCTTAAATGGAAAGTTATCTACATCAAAACAGTGCCAAACAGTGCAAAACAATGTCAAACAGTGTCGAAACAATGTCAAAACAGTAAAATTTACCCCCTTGTAAATTTACTTGCATAAAAGTGTGTGAAAGTCAAATGAGGAATTTCTTTTGGGATGGAGGGAGTATCAACCTAGGTTTCTCTCTAATTCTATATATTTGCGTATGAGTTTCTCATAATGATAGATACTTTTACTAACACCAATTGAAAGATACTTCTATTACTAACACCAATCAATGATTCAATGTCTCGCCAATGATATTAGTGAAACCTATTATGATGTATATATAGTTTGAAACGATAAATTATGTGAAATGTTTTAGAAGAATTATTGTCTCATTTGGAAATGAAATAGTACAATTTCATCGACCTAAACCAATGCACAAAGTACAAACATCTAAAGATTTTACACAAGGGAACCTCAAATACGGAGTATCTATAACGCCGGCGCGTCACATCTATTCGCCGTCCAGATTTCCGATCGAAAACCACCGATCGGCTCGCCTGCATATCGCCTATCTGCTGGTGCCGCTTCTATTTGGTCTGGTTAGGATTCATTCCAGCTCTTCAAGCTGACTCCATAGATTAGAAAAGAGACCGTACCAGGCAAACCAGAACGAAGAACAGAACATCTGGGAGCACAAGCTTCTTCCTTCCAGCCTTCATAACCACCATTATGGAAGTAGAGGTGAAGCTTAGGTTACCCGACTCCGCTACCCACCAGCGGATCTCCACCATTTTATATCCCCACCATATCAAAACACACGCCCAAGAAAACTTCTTCTTCGATGGTGCCGGTGCTGAGCTCTCCTCCAACCTAGCCGTGCTTCGCCTCCGCTTTTACGACCTAGATTCTATATGTGTCATCTCCCTCAAGGCAAAACCCTTCCTTTCCAATGGAATCAGCCGCGTAGAGGAGGACGAGGCGCAACTTGATCCTATCATAGCACGGGCGTGCATAGCTGAACCCTGGCGGCTGCTATTACTTGACGATTGCAGGATCATACAGAGGGTTAAATCAGAGTACGTAATCGGGGAACAGGGCTTCGTCTGTTTGGGTGGATTTAGGAATTTCAGAGGTGTGTATGAATGGAAGGGATTGAAATTGGAGCTTGACGAGACGCATTATGATTTCGGGAGGTGTTATGAGATTGAATGCGAAAGTTCGGAGCCAGAAATGGCAAAAGGTCTTATTGAAGAGATGTTAAATAGTCACGGGATTCAGTATTCTTACTCAAATGCTTCAAAATTTGCAATTTTCCGGTCTGGAAAACTGCCCCTTCCTTGAATACCAGGGCTGCGGTTAGTACCAATCAGCTCTGATCTGGTGATTCAGATATAATGGCTCGGATACATTCATACAGTCATTCTAATATATATCACATTACTACATTCATTCTAACATAATCCTACATTCATTCTCATATATTTCACATTACTCTTCCCCGTAATTCTCTTTGTTTTATTTAGCCCCTTCCTGTCAAATTAAAACTAACGTGACCCACATAACTTTAGTTGACTTTTGAACATCTGTCTTCTTTAAATGCTTAATACTTTGTTTCAAGAGGGCTAGAGAGGTCTAAGTTTGAATTATATGTAAAAATGAAATATCGTTTATAAAACAGAAGCAGGAAGTCCAGACTGGGGTTAGTAAGCCAAGTCAGTTTAAAAACAGATATTGATATGAAGAGACTAAAAATAAAACTGTGTAAATTGCAGGGACATACAAAAATGTCATATTTGCAATATGGGAAACACATTTAAGCCTGAAAATATAGAGGCAAACTATTCCGTCAGTAGTTTTCAAAAACAAAAATGTTATGGGTTGTTCAGTAGCACTGTTTTTTTATGATTCTAGAGGATATATGATATAGGCGCATAATACTATAATGAACTAAAATTAGCAATCTTTGCATGTTGATATTGACATCTGCCAACCCAAAGAACTTGAATCAATTTGTTCTGGCTTTAGATTTTCTTAGTTTAAAAATTAAATAGAAAACGGTGCCACTTGTTGATTTGGACTTGTTTCTGATAAAATTTGCCATTTCCCTTTATACAGCCTGAACCCGAGTTTCGTCCTCCAATGTCTGAAATTGTTCGAGCACTTGTGCGGCTAGTGCGAAGGGCCAGTTTGGTAAGAATAAGATCTAATGATGAATCTGGGGTGCCACTTAGGACCCCAGAACACAGTTCGATAAACCCGCCTTACTAACTACTAGCTTTTGCAGATTTATAAGTAATCTTTCATTATATGAGAACATTATATGTAATTAAATATGTAGTAATCATTTTCCGATTTCCCGTTTTGTAAGAATTTGGAATTTCAATATTAGGCCTATGTATGAAAACAATTTTCTTGCAGAGTTATATATTGGTGGTGGAGATTCATATAGCTTTGAGCATCCCACATTAGCTGTCTACTGAGTTCAAGTCTAATTGGGGACCCAGATCACGATTTTTCCCTCTGGAACCAATCTTGATAGATAGATTTCTGTTGATGTTAGGAACTAATTAAGGTTTTTATGCCATTGAGCAAAACAATATAGTCTCTGTAATGTAAAAAAGGAGGGATTGGAGTTTGCACCCCACCTTTTCATCCATGTTTGATTGCAACTCACTTTTGAAATCATTAATATTTGCAGTCCAAAATTAGAAATCATATGTTAATAATGGGGTACAAGCTCCAATTCAGGAGAAAACATAGGGTACATATTCTCAAATTTGGGGTGCAAATGTTAATGATTAAAAAAATGAGATGAAACTCAAATTAGGATAACAAAGTGGATTGCAAACTTAAAATCCCCTTATAAAAATGAGGTTTGTATCTCAAGAAAGAAGATAAGATTTTCTATTAGGTTTTGAAAGCTGCAGAAATAGGCAACACAGACAAGGGCATCCTCATGATATGATTCAAGCTCCCTGTGCATATAACTTCACCAAAGCTAAAGTTTCCCTCTGCCTTCGTCACATTGAACTTAATCTCCAAATCTTGAGTTCCCTGTGGAAGTATCCTGAACCATGCTGGCTCTATATCAACTGCCACTCCTTTTGGCGGCACTACTACACATGTGTAGCTCTCTTGCATACTGGCTACGTTCATGACCTTCCGATGCACCGTCCGTGACCCAGCCAGGGCCGAAATGGTCACTGAAGGCAGGTTCAAGTCAGTTGGATGTTCAAAAATATGATTGCAGACTCCCCCTGTTGCAGTCTTCACTACCATGGGATCACTATTAGGAAGAGAGCAAAGAAACCCGATGTAGTCTTCAAAGGCTGCTGAGAAGACTAGACCGGGATCGAGTGCGCGGGAGGGGTTAACGAGACCCGATCCAAAACCGAACGGCGCCGAGGGGTGTAAGCTGTAGAGGTCAAGTCCTTGAGCCATTATGGTGTCTCCAAGATTGTCTTGTGTGGTGGCAGTGGTTGACAATGCAGAAGCTATCATGGACGGCGTCCACGTAGGATATTTCTGCTTTATGAGCGCAGCTATGCCTGCAACATGTGGTGTAGCCATGCTCGTCCCCGAGATAAGTGCAAAATTGTGTCCTAAAATGGCATTCGTCAAATTATTTATGCTAGAAGTCGTAATTGGACTAGAGGCATTCAACTTAGTCAACCAAATCGTGCTAAAAGGTTGGATTAGAGTTATAAGCCGGTCATACACCAAGGCCCTAACTTACACACACATAGCTGCCAAAAAAACTTACACACACATACTGTTAAGGCATCTCACTGATGAAACATAAAAATACAAACTCAAATATATGGTTTTGGACTACTGCTCTTACTAGATTAACGTTTTGGGATAGAACTTCAAGCCTATGATTTAAAAAAACACAAGAATTTCAGGATTTGTCTGTTCCAATGAGAAACAATCTTGAGGGGCATGTAAAACAAGTTTTCCTCACATCTGGTAAGCATAAAGATACAAACTCCTACAAGGTCTTGATTTACTCTTCCCATGATGTTAATTTTACCTTTTAGGGTGAAACTTTAAGACCTTATATGTGATTTTGTATCTTTATGTTTAGCAAGATGATGGTGACTTTACATGTTTTGCAAGATTGTGGTTTGTTAGAACAGAACAATCTTATATTTCTTAAAGAAAATGCTTCAAGTCCAACACAAATAAACCTACAAACGAATGATGTGGCTCTCATTATCACCATTGGTGTAAAGGTGATATGAGGTGATTAAGTATGGTGCTGCCACATGAACTTTTGTGTAACTTTTTGTAAATGTTTAAATGTGGAATCCTAACATGGACTAACCAGATAGAATGGGATCTGAAACACTCATGGGGCTCCAAGCTGCCCATATCTGGTGCCCTGGAGCTAGAAGGTTAGGCTTTAGCACATCAGCTGGATTCCTACTTTGACCACTGAAATCAGGACCTCTTGAAGAAAACCTGCTAACAACTGGAGCTCGGTTTGAGTAACTAGCGATTCTTCCCTCGGTTATGGCAGCACGCCCGCTATACTTGGTTACATATCCATGAGTGTCCCTTGTTGTCTGGTTCTCATAGTAGGTCAATATGATCTGTCAAGAAGGGAAATGAAGCAAATGGTGTAAAATCTACATAATCAAATCTAACATTTAGCATAGAATATAATTGTGTTCTAAAAACTAGGGACAAATGCCTAAACAGAACTAAAATAAGAAAGGGATCTCAAATAGTGAGGACTGTCGTATACATATTAGGAGAAATGTCCATTCATATTTAGCTGAGACCATTCAAGCCCTCCACGAATAGACACCCACCCACTTCACGAATAGGCACTTCCGTCTGGTCAATGCACTTTATTATAGCAGCGAAAAATGTGTTTTATTCATATTTAGGATGTGGGACACTACAGTTGAGGCCTATCCCCTAGATGGGGATTTATTGCACAATGGTGAAAAAAAAAAGGTGAATTAGTATGTCTCAGTACTTGTGTGTCACTGGTTCTTGGGATCAGAATGCCGGGAACATGGAAGGGGATAGGCTCAGCTATGAAATCACCATAGGTTGGATTAGCAACAAATACAAATCCTGCAAACCGAAGAGCCTTTGCTGTCTTTATGATTGATGTTAGACTTGACGATCCATTAGAAAAACCAGCTGAGAAGCTGCAGATCACCAAACTCCCTTCCACCAAAAAAGGGTTTAGTGCCTCTGGATGTTGACACTCCTCTATGTACTCTGCTGTCATAGGGAACACTCTGTTTGCCCTTATGGCATCCTTAGCCAAAACCAGCTTATGTTGAAGAACTCCCCCATCGAACGTTGATGCTAACAAAAAAAACAAATCATTCCATATTTGAGAAATTTATTTGTATAGCCATCCTACTCAGAAAGCACACAGCCACACACACAAGTACAGATATTCAAATTAACATGTTAAACCATGGTCTTCTATCCTAAAACTCAATTTGGCCTAAGACCCTTATTTTCTATCCTAAAAGTCTTTATGGCCCTATACGTGAGTTTGTTTCTTTATATTTGGCTGGTCTGGGGTCACTTAACATAACATATAAGGTCCTAAGTTGGTCAAGGTTAACTTTAAGGATAAAATCTTAAATTATTTCAATAGGATAGAGAGAGCACATCAAACTCAAAGCAAGACCATGTCTTGGACTATTCACCTTATCAACTTTTGACCTTTTTTGGTAGAATCGCCTAGTAGGCTAGTACTATCGAAAACATGAGTCAATGAAAAAAAAAGAGAGATGGACAAACCTGACAAGCCTATACCACTGATTTTCTTACCATCACCAAGAATGAGAGATCCAGGGAAACTCCTATCTGTGTCACAGGCTGCAACTCCCACTGTCCATGGGCTAAAGGAGATCACACTGTAAGGACTGGGGCCGTGGTTCCCAGCAGCTTGGACAACAAAAACTCCAGCTTTGTGTGCTGCCAACATGAAGATCTCAAACAATGCCAAGAATGTGAGTGCTTCTTCTGGTGGGTCATCTGGACCTATTGACAGAGATAAGATATCCACCCCGTCTAACGCTGCCTGCAAAGTAGGTTAGCAGATAGTTGTGATTGAAATCAAAAGAATGAGGAAAATGAAATATTATGAACTGGGAGCTCCTAATTTAGTTGATTCGTTACTTGGTCAATAGCTGCTAGGACATCTGAGAGAACTCCTATTGTTGGATATATGGCTTTATAAACAGCAATCCTGTCGAGGAAAAAAAATAATGAAAAATGAAGATAAGGTTAAAGATGTTTTTAATTGGACTGAAATTTTATGGTCTGGTCTGGCATGTTTAAGTCTAGTCTAAATGGTCTGGTATGGTCTCTGTGTATTTTACAAGTGTCAAAGTCTGAATTGGTCTGTTTTAAGTCTGACTTGATTTGTTTAAGTTTGATCATGTATGCGACATAAAACAGTCCAAGTAAAAACATCCGAAGTTTTTAACATATTTCTATGATGTCTATCCTTATAATTATAAGAGAAGTAGTACACTAAGTGTGTGTTTGTTTGATTTTTTATATTTCATGGCTGTGTAAAAATTTAAGAATAATAATAAATAATGAAATTAAGGTTAATTTATCATTCTTTTTTAAAATGTCCACCCAAAAACAAAAACATTTCTAGTCTAGACATATATATGGCGGTTTGTATTTTTATATGTGAATGGTGTGCAATGAAAACCAACCTTGCACGCGGTGCCATTCCAGTGGCTCTACCGTAGTAAAATCCATCTACCACAACTGGAACTCCAGAATTTCCTGCAGCAGTTGATGCCACATGGCTGCAAAATTTATAAGAAATTACTTTCTGGGTCACTTTTATGCCTTTGGTTGGAACATAGCAAGTTAGCAACCCAAACATGAAATTTAGAACTTCAGAGTTTAGATAAGAAACACCATATCCAACTGAAATTTAGATATAAATTTAAAACTTTAGATATCAACCCAAACATGAAATTTAGATCTTTAGATAAGAAAAACCATATTCAACTAAGGGGGCAGTCTGACTTGTTTCAGTCTAAGGAATGCAGCATTGACCAATGTCATTCGAATCTTTCATTCTCTTGTTTGGTTTGGGTTATGTTCTTTTTTTCCCTCAGAAATGAGTCATCCCCTTCTTTTCTTAGATATATTCTGTATAAGATTTCCATGTGTTCCCCACTTTCCCTTGGCCCTCTCAGTTTTTGTATCACACCACTTCATGCAAAACCTCAGACATGGTCTATTGAAGCGAGACAGATACACATAGGTACAATTGTACAAATGAGGGTATTTTAAGAAATTAAACAACTTATCTTTCTTTTCCTTTTGGCTCTGCTTCTTGTATCGATTCATGTTAGTCGATCCCAAAATCTTTTGAGACCAAGGCTTAGACATTGTTGTTGTTGATATGCAAAACATGCTAGTATAACTTTTTCATAATCTTAACCAAAATAAAATTTAAGCATATTATAGTGACCTCATATTTTTAACAAAATGACCTCTGGGAAAACTATTTCTGAAAACTACCTCCCATGGCCATCAGCATCAAAAGGAGATAGGATATCATATGAGGCATTAAGGTTAGCAGCAGCTTGTGCCCCTGCAGCGAAAAACCTGGCAGACACAATTTTGCCATTGCAGGCAGATTCATGAAACATAGGACCTGTCTCACAATCCCCAGAAAAATGGGATATGTCTGAAGAAAATGGGTGTGTGGGATCATAAGCAAAGCTGGGGTGTGATGGGTTGATTCCAGTGTCCACAAATCCAATAACAACACCTTCACCAGCATTTTTGTCTCCCCCTTCTTGAGTCCATGCTGATTGTATCCCCAGAAACTGTGGGCTATAAGTTGTCATTTTCTTTACTCTTCTGTCCTTTTCCACTAACCTCACCCCTTCTGCTCCTTTCACCTTGTCAATCTGCACATTAAAATTTTCTCAATCCAACAAATTTAGAAAATGGGCCCTCAATAGGTGAGAATTATTGAACACATATTAAGGGGTTCATTGGTACGTGTGTTATGTCATATTTCACTGTTCAGATATAACAATTTCAAACTTATGTGTAAACCCTAGGGATGCTAAAAAAAGGATGAAACATTGAACTTTAATAACAAAAAACATTGTACAAACTTTTTTGTACCCACCAGTACACTCTTCGATGAACATGCTATTCATAGAGGTAACAACACGTGTCTAATAGTGTGTTCACCGACGAGTGTACAGGTGGGTACAAAAAAGTGTGTACAAGCAAGGTTGTTTTAATAAAACATAAGAATCAATTTACTTCATATGAGCAATCATGAGGTTTGATATATTCAAATGAGTCACCATCTAGTGGGACATGTTAACTCATCTTGTATCACCAAATATAACAATACAAATTGATGTATAACGAATTTGATTACTCGTATCATGTTAAACTTTTGCGATGAAATCCAATTCTTAATATCTTTAGTCGATGTGGAACACTTAATATAGTCATGTATCAAAAGGTTAATCTGCATGTATTATTGTTAACATGCATCATGATTTTCTATGGCTAGAACTCAACTGTTTTGGGGATGCAATTAATTAGTTACCTGAGAAGGAGTAGTGTGGACTGCAAATCCATTTACAATGTGTTTAAAGCTGTAAATCTTATTGTAACTTCCCCTATCCAAACAAGACTCTAGCAGTTGATCATGGGATTCCATCAACTTTTTCGCATAAATCGTCGAGCTTTCGCTGGTAAAAATAATCAAATTTGTCAATTAAGAGTACTAGCCAAATAAGGAAAGGACATTAATTTCCAATTCAAAAACATTGATGAAATCTTCATTTTATTTTCACGGGACTAAATTACCTCCTCGATCCAATGTGTTTCACTTGTTCAAGATTCATGTTGCCTTGATTAAACGCAACCGGATCGCCTTCTGTTAAAACTAAATAAATTTCTCGATCTTCTGCTACGCATGTCAGTGTGGCAAATGTTACAAAGATCGAGAGTAGGAACAGATAGAGAGGCGACGAGATAATCATGATGATGATGATCAAGCATTAATTGATTAATTAGATATTACAAAGTTTGATTTGGAGCTTTAACTATGGAGATATATATACACTTGAAGAAATCTGCGTTGGATTAATCATATTATTAAGTATGAACCAACACATGGAAAACCCAATTAGGCCTTAAAAAAGTAAAAACAAAAACGTTTTTAGCGTGAACAAAGGCCCACTTATCATGCGCATGATCAGTTAAATTACATCATTATTTCTTTTGAATTATTTTGCCGTTACTATAAGCTTTTCCACCAATTCTATCAATGGCAATACGGCATGATGATGTACATTATTCAGCCACAATAAAAATTACCTTGAAAATCCAGTTTAAAACCGAACCGAACCAGAACCCAAAACCAAATCCAGTTTAAAACCGAACCGAACCAGAACCCAAAACCAGACTTACTGATACTAACCCGACCAGAACCGAGTCATTTATAACTGATTGCAATTAATGTACCAGATGTTAAAAGGCAGGAACTATACTGTATATCCAAGATATAAATGAGCAGTAATAAGAAAATGACAAAATTACTGGATTACAGCATAATTCATGCATGCGACCATAACTAACCAGGTTAACGTAGAGAAGATATGACATTCCATTTCTCTACACAAAATTAAAAAAAAAAACACGCTCCCAAGGGTATAACTAATAAGAATCCCCCATTCTTCATTAGCTTTGGCCAGTCTTCATCCTACCTGTGATTATAACCACAATACACAAACAAGCAAAATCTTAGACCACTTAGATATGTGCCAAACAATTTGAACATTAAAACAACATAGTCTTCTTCACTAATCGTACTATACATGATCACTCTTCTAAAAATCGCTTTAGGCGTCCGACTAGTCCTCGCCTAAGCACTAGGCGGTGGCCAGGTGCCGCCCCAATTTTAGTCTAGGCTCTCTGACTAATTGATTTGGCGCCTAGGTTAATTAGTCGGCTGCCTAGGGCACCTAGTTGCCCGAGCAGAGCACTTAATGAACCGTCTAGGCATCCAGATTCGTTGAACATTTTATTTTGTTTTTTTATTTTAGTATTCTAACACAGATATATGTACATGTGTAAAAGAAAAAGATATATGTACCTTCAACCTTAACAACGCATATGAAAAAAGTTATTAGTTGTAGATTAAAATAAAAACTATACATGTTTATATATAATCTTAAGTGTTATTATTATTTAATAATAATATAATATATGTATTCTATCGTTCATGCATGTTAATGTGTATGTGTGTATTTTTTACACACACAAACACAACATTACAAATCATATTTACGCAAAAATATTGACAAAAATAACATTTCTATGTCTCCAACTAGTCCACGCCTAGACGTCTAGGCACCTGCCTAAGCGCTGAGCTTGCGCCCGACTAGCACCTAGCGCCTTTTAGAATATTGTACATGATTAGTTGATTAAAATAAGGGAAAAGGGGCAAATAAGGCCATGTACTAACCAAAAAAGGTCAAAGAAGGCCTTATTTATGAGGCTCTGTCCGGCCTTCGTCATTTGGGGTGGTTCTCGGTGGAATTTTTTGATGAATTTTTTTGACCATCTTATTCATTAAGTCTAGTTTACTCATACCAAATTTCAGCTAACAATTCAATCGGGAAGGCATTCAAATGAATTCTTGAAGATAACTGCGCAGTTATCTTCAAGAATTCATTTGAATGTCTTCCCGATTGAAGTATTAACTGAAATTTGATATGAGTAAACTAGACTTACTGAATAAGATGCTCAAAAAATTTCATCAAAAAATTCCACCGGGAACCACCCCAAATGGCGATGGCCGGACAGTGCCTCTTAAATAAGGCCTTATTTGACCTTTTTTGGTTAGTACGTGGCCTTATTTGCCCCTTTTCTCTTAAAATAATACACGACGTGAAACATTAGGAGATCATAGCTGGTTCATTTTGGAGGAACTGGAAGGTGGAAATAAAGCCTCAGATTATTTTGGCCATTTGGGTCTACAATACGATTGAGTTCCTGTTTGGAGGTTGATAGGAGATCCCAGAAACTCACTTAGTACATCCCAAAAATTTCGAATTTGGTTGAGCTGGAAAAATAATCCATTGATATAATATTTTACAAAGGAATAAAAAGGTTCATAGAAAGTTTGGGGCCTTTTGAATAAAGTTGCTGAAATAAACGAGTAAATGACATGTTTACCTCTATTTTCATCATATGGATAAATGATAGGGAGAAAGGGGTCACGGAAAGGGTGTCAAAAATGCATCATTGTCTTTCTTCATTAATGTCCTGTTTATTAAAGAAGGCAATCGTGAATTGAATTTTCACACCCTTTCCCCTCACCTTTTCCTTACTCCTACCATTATCTATTTACATATATAATTATATATTACCTGGTACATTGTATTATTTCAAATTTGTTTTAACAAAAATACTATTTTAATTATTTTTCAGCAACGTCAACTCTTTCCCACATCTACTACTTTAGGCTTTAGCCAGTTACATAAAAGGCCCTGAGTGCAACTTCTTAAATAAAGAACATATAAAATATCACATTGAATGGGATCAATAATCCTTCAGGTGTACAATTAGTATGCATGCACCATTTTGACAACTTTACTCCTGATATGACAGATGACCAAAAGCATTAAAGAAAGGCCTACCTGTTAATTAGTTATTGTTGAAGAAGAAGACTCTGTGTCCTCAAGGTTATTCACATTCTGATCAGATACACAATCAGAGCAAACATACTGATCAAGTTCTTTTGTCTGCTCAACAGACATGCCCACACATGAAGGATGGTACCTTTAAAGGGCAAAAAATACAACAAATTTTTATATTAAATGGAGAAGTGGATAGCCAACATATTTGGGATCAAATTGAAAGCACGGTTATTAATGCTTGAGACACATAACGACTATGGAGAATATGGATTACAGAGAGCTAAATATTTGATACCAAAGTTCAGAGAAAAGGAGACGAATAAACAATTGAACTTTGTAAACAAAATTAAACAATCTATGTTAATAAATAGTTTTTCCAATATAGTTTATCAAGTGATCAAATTAATTATTTAAAAATCTGGAGATGTTTGAAACCTAAAACCAATGTGATACGCCTAAGAGATTATTGATGAATGTTCTGAAAGGAAAAGGCAGGAAGTGTTCGAGTAAATTCTATTTCAGCCAAATAAGTAGGGAAAAATACACTTATTCTGTGATATAAGCAGACTCAGCCACATCTGACTACCTAACAGGGTCTGCATCACAAGAAAAGCCTCTAAGTTATTATTATTTGCTTTCTATCTCAATTCCAGAATACAAAAATTAGACCATTATCAAGATTTTATAAATATAGGCTCCGTTGGGAAGACTACCAATTACCATAAGCATTATAAGTGCCTTCAACCCACATAGTTGGCTGGAATGGATGTTAGCAAAATGTTTTTGTTTTTCAGAAAGCACAGGAGATTCATCGGAATCAGCTCCATAAAGCAGGCCCATAATAATAAAGTAGCAGATGTATTCATAAGGATTCTATACCAGTCCTTGCACTCCTCACATTGTATCATCCACTGATCTGGATTATAAGGAAGCTCACACTTGCAATACCTTTTTAAGGCCAAACCACAAGGCAAGTAGTTAATAAACAGCTTTTAAATGCAATTAATGCAAAACAAAGAAAATCACATTTACTTACACTATGACTGAGTCGGGTACAAAGGTACCGGTTGCAGCTTTATACACAAACCGATAATAAAAATCCTTTGGCCCCACATTTGGCAGTTTATTAACATAGGCCTTGAAGGTGTGAACAGTGCACTTCCCTTCAATAGCATTGGCACATTGGAGATCATAGCAATCTGAAAGGAATAGCTCTTTTGCCCCATGAAACTCCCTCCGCCCTCCCCATGAGTCCTCAGGGCGGTTGTACCACCTAACTCGCAGTTTCACATTGTCACTATCATCGGCTTCAATTCCCTCCACATGTGCCACACCTGGAGGAGCACTGCTCTTTTCTGGCGGAGGACGTATCAACACACAGTCTCCAGCTTCAAAATCATTTTAAAACGACGACATTTCAGTCATTCCAGGTGTGTATATATTCACACAGAAGTGTTCTTAAAAGCAGAACCGAATGCATATAAATTAAATTATAAAAGCTGAAGATGCACAAAGATCAGATACAACATTTCGACTTTAGAGAAGCTGCAATCAACAAAAAAAAAGATTTAGCTTTGTTTCCATTTCTTTTCTTTTTCTAGGGCATCAATCACGATAAACATTGCAACAAAGGAGCAGCTACTACAGTTCTATTTTTGGAACTGTCATGTCTGTTTGACCGTGGAAATTAAAGATCCCTATAGTCTCATACCTTATGTGAACCTGACTTAACCTATCCAGTGGCTCGGTGCAGTGGACCAATCTTGATATTTGTATGCTCATTAAGATTCTTAGTTAGAATGTTGCTCATTTAAACCTAACTGGCTCCGATATTAAATTAAGACAGTTTTTTATCCAAAAGGCCAAAAGAAGAGTAGTCCAATTTAGGCTTGGACAAGGACTGATTTGGTTCTACTTCCAAAAACCCCGGTTATCAATTCTAGAATGGAGAAAATGTAACTAGAATTGGTTCCCGATTTCGAGTTATGGCTTGGTTCTCCGACCTTCCACTTGCGAAATCTTTTCCATTTATAGGCTTATGAGTATGTCAATTTTAAAGTAGGACAAACGTTTTTTATGTGTGTGTACTCACTACTCACACATGTGCCATCCTCTAACAGTACGGCTTCAGTGCTTCACTAATCACTACTACACCACCATTCTTCTGTTTCTACGAACTATTAACAAAGGGTTCAGAAGTATGAGTATGATTACTTTTTAATATATTATACAGCCCATATTATGACTTCAAATCGTATGAAAAATAAGCTACTGAAGAGCACTTAAGAAATAACTATGGATTATAATGAATAGCCTAATAAGAACATATTTTCTTTACCTTGTTCTCATTGTTTACTATTATAATAGATTCAGATAAAATCATATTAGAAACATTTACATCAGATCAAACACAACTGGAAAATATCACAACATACACAACCTAACATATACTTTATACATAGTATTATATTTCACGAAGCTTATTACCTAAAATATTTTAATGTTACTGTTACTACTATACAGTTACTATAGCGATCACTACCTCCATCCCATTACCTTTAGGACATGAGAAAGTGATACATATATTAAGAAGAGTGGAACTACGTGGTTAAATGGTATTGAATTTTTTAAGTATGAATGAATTTAAACATACAAATATTACCAAATATGGTCAAATGGTACGAAAGAATAAAATCGGACAACAATAGTGGGGCGAATGGATTACTACTCTTCAGCGCCGCCGTCATCATTATCAATCTGTGCTAATTTGCTATCTCATTTATCATTATTGTTATGTGTTATTGTTAATAAATATTACCACCTTCACTAACTTTGAAGGCGTGAAAAGTAGCACACATATTAAAGATGAGACAAGAAATGAAAGATGAGACAAAAAGATAGTGTGAATGTGCGATAGGGGGGTCTTATTATTTTATTATTGTTGTTATTTCATGTTAGCGAACCCCAAACTCTTTTGTGATTAGAGTTTGGGTCTTGTTGTTGTTGTATGAGTAATGACTCTTACAACTCATTTGGTAACCCTTATTTTCAGCTTATAAGTCTTACCAGTCAACTTTATTACCAAATATGTAACTTTGATTTCGCGCGCTGAATTGTGCAAGGTTAATTTTGACTTGAGTTACTATAGATGATCATTTAACTATTTTTTCATATAACTTTTCTTCATTTATTAAAAAAATACTCCTTCGGTGATGTTGTCATACTTTCTTTTCTGGATTGTCTCAAAATAAGTGTTTTGTTTCCATTTTCGGACACAAATATGTGGCCCACATCATTTACTTTATTAACTCAAACCTCAACCACAACTTTTGATTTTTCAACCACTATATTAATAATTATGTTAAACCAAAACAATATAAATAAAAAAATACTCCGGTCTCTTATCGTAGTAATATTTTAAATCCAATTTTTTCATAATTCAGCAAATTCATAATTTCAACTAGAATTTCATCAATTTCAACAAATTCAACTCATTCAACCAATTTAAGTGTTACCAAACGGTCTCTTATTGGTACGACTACTTATTCTTATTATTCTTATAATTATTCCTTACTATAAATCATTATAACTCTTTCATCATTGCATTCATTTGTTTATTTATTATTTAGTGAACTTAAATTTAAATGATTTATATAAATCATAAGAAAATATACTTTGTTACATTGACAAATGATATATTTGGTTTTGATATATTTTGTTCTAGTACTTTATTATTATATTTTTCTTATCTATAAGTGTTCAAGTTATTATTGTTTCGATAGTAATAACAATAATAAATATTATTGTTAATATGATGGCTATAGTAATAGCAAGGGTACCTATAATTACGATGTTAATTTCAATTACTATATTCGTCTTTAAATAAAGTTGTTTTACTGAACGGAAAGGAAAAGAACAATAAACAAAAATGTAAGACTTTCTGAGCCCATAGCATCTTCCCACAAAATCTGGTTTATTCAAGCAGGAGCCTTTTGTTTTAGTTTAAAACAAAATATAAAAAGTGAAAATTGCTGACATATATTAAAAACAAGAGAGTAACTAGAACCGTATACTAGTATAATTTTTATAAGAGATAACATAAGAATTCTTCATATCAGACCACCAACCATCACATAATAAAGATTCAGAGAGGAAAGAATTATACTAAATCAGATAAAAAGGTTCAGATTGGTAGAAAATATTTAGAATAGCTCCGAAAAAATTCTAATTCAAATCCAAAAATCAAATTAAAAAGTTTTGAACGCGCGAATAAAAAAACTTTGAAAGCAGCTATGGGTTAGCACGCTATGTAAATACGAAGAATGGATATTCGTATACCTTTAACAACTTCATCCGTGCCTCTAATGGTGTAAGTATGCAAGTCTCGTTTCCCAGATCTAATTTTGGCCATGAAAGCTCTAAGACGAGAGTGAGTTTCAGTGGTCGAATCCAGAAGCGTGAGATTGACGCGGCACTTGCTCATGCCGATGGGTGTATTGATTTTCACTGATCTGCTAACATTCCAATTTTTTAAAAAAAAAAAAATATTTGAGTTTTTGTGAATTTCATTTTTCAGTCCTATTATTATTCACATTATGTTGCGCATGATTTTTTAGAAAAATGCCCGAGTAAAAATATTTGTATATGTCAAAATAAAATTGTCATGATTATATTTCCTAAATAGATGTAATTGTTGTCATATGTGGAAATACTATCATTTTTAAGGGAAAACTGTCAAATAGGTCCTCGAACTTTCATAAAAAGGTCAATTAAGTCCTTTTATAGAAGATTCTGTCTGGCCGTCGCGATTTGGGGTAGTTCCCGGTGGAATTTTTTGATGAAATTTTTTGAGCATCTTATTCACCAAGTCTAGTTTACTCATAACAAATTTCAGTTAACAATTCAATCGGGAACACATTCAAATTAATTCTTGAAGATAAGTGCTCATTTCTGCGTTCTCGAATTAATTTGAATGCGCTCCCGATTAAATTTTTAGCTGAAATTTGGTATGAGTAAACTAGATTTGATGAATAAGATGCTCAAAAAATTTCATCAAAAAATTCCACCGAGAACCGCCCCAAATCGCGACGACTGGACAGAGTCTCCTATAGAAGGACTTAATTGACTTTTTTATGAAAGTTCGAGGACCTATTTGACGGTTTTCCCCATTTTTAAACTATGGTGCTGTCCAAACATGACAATAATTATTTCTATTTTTGGGGGAAGATGATGGCTTACATTGATATCACAGCATAAGCTTTCAAAAAGGGGTTAAAGTGATATAAGGACCACAGACAACTATCAGTCATCGAACCAGACTTAAAGTTGATCACCTTCGGAGAAGCAATATAACTCGTTGATCCTATAATGAGCTTACATGAGTCAAAGACAGATGCAGCAGACTGTCTGTCCCCCAACCCTAATGCAAGAGGCTTACAACCATAAATAAAACCAACATGAAAGTAAACAGTCTGATTAAAGAAAACAAAAAAAGCAATAAAGTAAAATCCTTCTCCGTCTTCGAGTGTATCACTGCCATCCAAGCATAAGGCCTATCATGCAACATCAGATATGCTAGCGGATCTACTGGTCTAGACCTGCCTCCTATCCGTGTTTTGGCCTATCAAGCGGCATACTCTCCTCGCCTGGATCCTCCTATTCTTTCTCCTCCCAGATTCTTCTACGTTCTTTCGCTCTCCCAGTGTCTCATCAGGGCTCACAGAATTTCCTTCCTTCATAGAGCTTATCGCAGTTCCAGTAGTAGCCTCTTTCCATCCTTGACCACCTGTTCCCCTGGCTATCACTTTTTGCGGTACTCCTATTCCTGTACTTGAGGACCCTTCAACCGGCCACTTATTGCATGTTGTAGGACTAGCCCCCCCCCCCCCCCCCCTATAAGATGAACTCCATAAGATTTATCTAACAGAATGTTATCTCCCTCATACATTACTGGACAGAATTTATCAGAATGGCCAATGATCCCACAAATAAAGCAAAAGTCTGGAAGTTTTTCATACTTAAAATCAACCCAATGGCCAATACCCTTTCTTCAAAGTTGTTCCTTTATTCAGGGGTTTCCTTATATTGATGAAGCTGGTATATGTATGGTGCAAGACTGCAAGAGACGGATTCTATCTCACGGTGATAGAAGACCAAATTAATTAGAAAACTCTCAAAACCATTTTATTGATAAAACAAGAGGTTTATTTATACCCCAAATACATATGTATGACAAAAAGAAACTCAATCCCAATCAACTACTAATCTACTGGTTGGGAACATAAATTCTACTCCAATGCTAGTTGCCAAATAAATACTAATACGTAAACATATCATGAACTGAAAGTTTAATAATTAATACGGAAGCACTCCTACTCCTAATCTACCACATAGTCCGTTTAACTCTTGTTGAACTCTTCCTAGCCCGTTTACTTCGCCGGTGATCAACCCCGCCTTCATCATATATCCATAGAGACATTAATCCGCATATACGCCTCCCATTTTTCATCGAATTGACTTTCATCAAAACTAATAAATTTTCAAATAAAGTTACCAATTCTCCTAGTTGATCCTAAATTCACAAAACCATAAGCAACATTATGAACCTGTACCCAAAACTCCACCTCATTCAAACTAATCTTTAATGGAATATATTCAGGCCTAATCTCTTTAAGGATCAACAAATTCCTCTCAAACACCCATGGTCCTTCATCTAGCACACGCTTCATATCCAAATTATGATAAAAAGAAAAAATATACCTCTTTTCTCTGGTTTCCTTAATTGACAGACCTTTGACCGGTCTCCATAGAGATGCCATAAGCTCCTTGAAAAATCTGGAATTTGATCTTTCGATCCGTGAGAATCATCCCCACCACCGGAACCGACACCTTCTCCTCGCCGGCTACACCGTTTCCCCTCCATCATCAAATATCAATTCCTCGCTGTCCTCGCCTAATGCCAAATTTTTGTATTTGTTAACAATATCATCCATTGAAGAAAGCAGCCTTGACTACGTCTGTGAAAGCTCGCACCCGCAACCCTCCAACCTTCTTCTTCCACTAGCCGAAACAGGATCCGAACTCGATCGCCTTGCTACAGTCCAGGAATCGGAACCCTGAAGCCGTCAGCAACAATCGTCCGACCCTCCCGTTCGCTGACCTACCAAATCGCCCCTTGACGCCGCTCCTCGGAATATCCGATAGGGGAGAAGAACCCTAGCGGCGAGGCTCGCCCTAGAGAGAGAGATAGAGAAAATCTTGCTTAATAATTATTTCTATTTAGAAAATAAAAACATGATAGAAGTATAGAACTATTTTGAAATTTTCAGACGTTTTACTCCAATTTCAATTTTTATTTTTTGATTCTATTTTTATTTCCTCAATTATTATAATAATAATGACATTTTGCTAAAGAAAATCATGTAATTGTGAAAAAGAAGCAAATTAAGTATCAAAGGCTATCATTTAGAGAGTGCTCTTCTCATCAGGCCGGCCTGACGGGATGCTCCGTCCGGCCGAGCCCATTTGTGCACCTTCCCGGTGGAATTTTTTGATGAAAATTTTTGAGCATGTTCCCCATCAAGTTTAGTTTGTCCATACCAAATTTCAGCTCAAAATTCGATCGGGAAGGCATTCAAATCATTTTTTGAAGTTGACTGCGTCAAAATATACATATAAAACTGCAGTCAACCTGAAAAAATGATTTGAATGCCTTCCCGATCAAATTTTGAGCTGAAATTTGGTATGGACAAACTAGACTTGATGGGAAACATGCTCAAAAAATTTCATCAAAAAATTACACCAGCAAGGTGCCCAAACGGGCTCGGCCGGACGGAGCAGCCCGTCAGGCCGGCCTGACATGAACATTCCTCATCATTTAGATTGAATATGTATTATACATCATATTATAAAAATGATGTACTTTCTGCTCATATTGATTTCCTTTGTAAACCCTAACCAGAAAATCCTTTCTTTAACGGGGGGTTTGGTAATAAAGTTAAGACATGTGAAGGTGCTAATTAGTCGTAAAATATATCGTACAATCGGTTGTACCGTAGGCGTGGTACAATCGATCTTTTTGTTCTCTATGCACTGCTCATCGTCCCTCGGAGCTTCGCTCACACGGTTGGATTTCTTCTCCTCCACCTCGCGTGGCTCGTAGCTTCCTCGCCACTGGTATCGCTTCGCTCGTGCGATGATGGAGCTCTCAACGGAGGCTCGGACTGCTCGCCTCTCGGATCTGCGATGATGGAGCTCTCAACGGAGGTGGATTTCGCGACTGACCGCGACGAAAGGGATATCAACCCTAGATATTTGGGTATTTTTGCTCTTTTTCTAACACAGGTTTGGTGAGTTTAGTAGCTTGTTTGCCACTAGCTGCGAGAAATCTAAGGGGAGTGTCCTCAATTAGGATTCTATGGGATTTTAAAGGATTGTTAGAAATCCATAGAAATCAGCTGTCCTCAACATGGAGTTTGGTGGAATCCTGCAAAATCCGGCGTTCCTCAAAAAGTCCATGGACTCTTTACTCTTGGATTCCTAAGGATTTCTATGGATTTCAAACCAAAAAAAACAAAGGGCCAAAATCTCAGCATATCCTTCGGATTTCAACGGATTTCCCCTCGAGAAGAGAAGCAAAGCGAAAAGTAGTATATTTCCATGTGACGATTTCACCTCGTTCGATCATTCTCCTCTCTTCTTTGGCTTCCAGTTCATTTCAAGTGCAAAAGCAAGGGTCAAGTTGATGATGAAAACTGATATTTATTATTTCCTTTTTTAATCTAAACCATACGATCTCTAATATCGTAATACATGTGCAAAAGCAAGGGTCAAGCTTGTTTAGAGACAAACCAGAGAAGCAGTCAAGTAAAACACAAGCCACAGAGGCAACAGTCGAAGCGCGTCGAAGCAGGTAAACTTGAGAGAAGTTGGGGGATTTTCAATTCTAATGGATTCCAACAGATTCTAGGAGGAGAATTTTTGATTCCATGGAATCCAACCAATTCCATTAAAATCTCAATCCTTTAAAATCTTATAGAATCCTGATTGAGTACACCCCCGTAAGATATATACACGTAGAATTTCAAATGAGCTTTTTTAGTTGTTCAATGTTCATTGTGTATGCTAATTTGTTATTGGTGTAATACTCATTTTAAACTGTCATATTCATGCATAATTCAAAAGTATAATATTACATTAAATTTATACGAGTTCAATGTAAATATTTCAAAAAAACAAAGTGAATTATACGATATGAAGTTGATATCATAATGCTTATTATTAGGCTCTCAATACTCAGTACAATACATCTGATGCTCACTAAACGTATGTTAATGCTCATTTAACGTAAGCCACAGTTTTCACTTAAATTACGAAAAATGTCATGAGTTGTACGATGATCACCGTGCAGCTGATTGTACGGTATACGAACTCTCTAATTAATACTAGTAGTATATCTATTGTATCTATTACTAGTATATGAAATAATAATGATTTTGAAAATGTCAAAGGTAGAGTATTTGGTGAAAAAGTGATTTGTGTGTGTAATGAAAAATGGGATTAGGACATTAATATTACTAATAAATAACAATTG